TGTGTGCACACGTGTGTGTGTGTGAGAGATAATTTCATCAACACTTATTGGCTAAACAACGAGCAGAATGGGCTATTTTTGTCGAGCTTAAGCTGATAGCGTTTCCCACATTTTGACTTCACATATTCTCACGCTACAATTTAATTGCTGTTTTGTACGTCAAAAAAAAAAAAAAAAATACCCAGTTGGTCCGACACTTTCAACAATGTGAGCTCATTGTGTACGGTGAATGAATGCGCCCCCCCTCCCCCCTCCGGCGCTCACCAACACCCCTTAAGCACCATAACCACCCCCTTCTCTCACACACACAGCAGCCATTTTGTGCCAAAGCCGGGCTCTGCCAGCCGAGCGGCAGACGACGCTGAACCTAATTTCGCTCCACAGCTGGTCCACGCCACTCGGACACATTCTTACAATCCAACTTATTACGGCTTAATGCAACCTAATGTTGATGCATGTGGGCACGGAGAGAATACAGGGGCCGCGCGGGGGGGAGAAATTGGGAAAGCGATGGGTCCATATGCAGTCTGGTGATAATGCGAGGAGCCGGGGCGATAATATCTGGGTGTTAAATTGGTATCGATTGACCAGGAGGAGAGAGCGGCTGCTCTTTCATGCTCGTGCGCCGCGTCTGCTCCGACGGCTCCGAGCTGCACTGTGACTATCTGATCCATTTTAACACAGACGTCCGCACCGCCGGGCCTCCGCCAAAACCGCATTTCCAACACAGTGTGCTTAAATCTTCCTGCGTGCACGTGTGTATCTCTGCTTTCAATCCAGTCGCAAGGATTTTTTTTTTTTTTGCAAAACTTCTGTGTTGGTTTCTCTTTTGGGTATAATAACACAACACTAAATGGGAGGATTACTGATTTCACACGGATAGCAGCCACGTATATCTGTAGAGTAACACCTGTAATGCTTTACAAAATGGGGGCTTGAGACGGAGCAAAAGACATAGTTGCACAACATTCTATCTGCACGCCCCACCTTTAAAAGCCCCAAGCATCCAGAGGCAACACCACGCCTTTCCCCCGTAGCACTCAGTCACACCTAAAGTCAACCAACGAGTGGAAACAAAACAACGAGCTATTTAGACGAGAGGCGCTCGGTAAACGTTCCCACAGAGTTTTTCCAGTCAGCGTTTCACTGAAACAAGAATCATGAAACCCGTGTGCGTTTCATTAGAAATCGGCATCCTGGTGCACTTCTGGGTTTTCTTTTTCAAGGGCGGAAATTTGTCACACTCCAGGACTTCTTGCCAAATTGTGACACACACACACACACACACACGTTTCACCGAGATGAACTTCAACTGACAACAACGTCACCGAATGTAAATTCACAGGCGTCCGCATCACCAGAATCGCTGCCTGGCTTTGTTTTTCCCACTAGATGGAGAAGCTCGAGGGTAAACGTCCACGTTTACCTCCGGATAATACACTCAACGCCCCGAACAAAACACACATTTACAGCAGACCGATAAGGCAGCTGCACAATCTCTGGATCTGCACAAACCACAGCGGCGAGCGAGACAATAGCAATTGACGCAGAGAAGGAGGGAGACATTGATACGGTTGGATGACAGAGGAGCAGAAAAGGGGGAGAGAAGGAGAGGCAGACACGGAGAGGGAGAGAGGGAGAGAGAGAGAGAGATTACTTTGTTAGCAGGACAGGGAATAGAGTGGTAATTACCTCACTGTGGGTTTGTTGATTACAGTTCAGCCAGGTTCTCCATGTTAATCATTTACCAGGGGAAGACGGAGATTAGTGCAGAGACAGACACAGTGAGGAGAGATAGCAGGTAGTAGGAGAAATGCATTCACACACACACACACACACACACACACACACACACACACACACACACACACACACACACACACGAGGAGGAAGCTACATTGGCGGACGAGGAAATAATGCAGAATAAATAACTAAATTGGTCTAGAATCATCTCCTCTGACAAGACACGATGACAAACACTATGTTTTCACTTTACTGTACCCTGCACATATATGTGTGTGTGTGTGTGTGTGTGAGAGAGAAGGTATGGTATGCAGAATGTGATTTACTTTGGTATTTAAACTAGATCATTCATGAGTGCAGAGAAAAGGGAAATGATGCATAAACAGAGCAGAGATTACGCGGAAGACTTATGAGGGCTGGTTTCAATAAAGATACAGAAGACCAATACAAATATTCATCTCCTGCAGCGTTTAAACATGCTTCACTGGCTTGGAGCTCGCCCCGAGTTTTTGTCAGAAGGGAGAGAGAAAGCGAAGGAGAGACAGCTGTGGTGTTGCTGTAAATGCTTTTAGTATGTGTCCAAACCGGTGAGTGAGTTCCGATGTCAGCAAAAGACAAAGAAAGTTCCTATTGTTGAGTATCTCAGTAAAAAAGGTCTAAAAACAGGTTTAAGAAAAAAAATTCAATCCTTTAAGGTTGGGGGGGGGCTCTGTGTAAACTAGCTGACAGATCCTGAGTGAATTTATGAGGAAGAATGTAGCACAAGAAGCAGACGTCGCTGTAGCAGCAAATAGGCCGGTCAACTTACTTCGCCAAACAGGTTATGAAGCACAACACGGCTCAGGAGCGGCTGGATGTACCAATAAACCAGTCTGAGCTCGCCAAGCAGCACACACACTCAAGCTTGGAGCACCTCGGTTTTAATATTTTACTAACCTCGAACTACTCCAGGAAGTAAAAAAAACAAAAAACATTTCCACTCTAATAAGGAGCTATTGCTTCAGAGAAAACGGCGTTATAAAACAGAAACGATCGTAAACGCCGTTCATGAAATCATAAAAGGCTAATCGAGCACCGCAATGAAACAGAGACGGGGACCCTGATTCCAGGATGTTTGACGCTGACCCAGCAGTCGCTCGCTCACTTCCATTTCAAAGCTCCATTTTTCAATCTGGAGGGTGCTAAATGTGTGCCAGTTTAAGTGCTTCGCCGAGCCTTTGTTACAGCCATATTAGCCGGCGAAGAGCAGCGCGACAAGGCCCTTCAGTCTCCACTTCACTGCCCTCCTTCATTAAAACCATAAATCTAGATGTCGAATGAGAGGTGATGGCCAGAGAATGTCTTCTGTCATCCTTATTAAAGAGGTGCCGGTCTGGTCTCCAGCTACACTCGTCTTATCGACGAGCTGAGTCTTTAAAAGTAATCGCCGTCTCTCCAGCTGTTTAGGACCAGTGGCAGAGACGGCGGGAACAATGAATTTCCAACGGCAGTTTACATTTACAAAGAACAAACCGGGGAACACAGAACATGCTTATATGTCACAATAAATTTGAGATATCTCATTATATATATATATTACACATTTTATATAAAATATATTGGTTGCTCACGTGGCTTTATTAGAGTTCTAGTTTGCTTAAAACAACATCATAAGGCGTTGTAATAGGGTTTGTTATTGATGCAAAAATACTAATTGGAGCAGCTTTAAAAAAAAATGGAATCGCAAAAATGAATTCTGCAGTGGAGCGCTGTGCCAATAAAAGCCCCCCCCCCGCTCCTGCACTACATTTACGGGCCTCAGGACAACCGAGCTGGCTGGCTGCTAATCGAAAATATGGTATGGGAAAATGACTGAGGCTCAACTAATCGCACCGCCAATATCCATCACTGGACAGGGGGGAGTCGTGAGAGATAAGGGTGTAAAGGATGAGGGGGGGGGGGGGCGGTACAGACAAAGGAAAAGGAGAGTGGGATGTAACAAGGGAGGTAATGAAGAGTGAGAGAGGAGAGGAATGAGAAAGAGTCCTAGCGGTAAAACCCATGGGATTCTGGACCGGGTGCAACACCGAGGCTGCGCTGATAGCTTTGTGATTGGGTGGTGTTGCTGATGAGAACGATTCTCTGCCACAGTGGGTTACCCTCCGCCATGACGCTGATGGCATTGTGATTGGGTGGTGTTGCAGCCAACTGTGTGGCCCTGCCACAGGCTGTGACCATTCATTCCTGAACCCTTAGGGAACAAGAAGGTGCTTCTTAATCCTCCGTGTTCCTCCCCAACACGTTTCTGTTGGATCCCAATTAAAAGACAGGGTTCTTACCCGCTCGGACACACCGGGCACAACCTCAGAGGATGAGTCCGGCAGGTCTGACAATGGAGGCCTTGGGGAATTAATCCGTCCCGAGAGTTATAGCTCTGTACGTCGGTGCACCCACAACATGTAAAACAACAAGACTAAACAGTCATTGACAGAGTGGCTCGGTGGCCAGAGGCTGTTCACTAAAAAAGGTGATTCACCTGAAACAGGGTTTGGGGAATCAGGCCCGGCGGAGAGTCTCTAAATCAGCAGGCCAGAGGCTGTGTTGTTTCGGGCAGTATGGTCCCACTGGCCCCGCAGGTCTCCCAACCCTTCAATTAGCTAGACTGGAACACCTGGATCAGCAGGTGAGGCTAACTGCCGGGCTAATGGCCCCAATCCACTCGCTTACACAGAAACACGCACACAACTACAGATTTGCTGAATCACAGCAGCACTTTAGACTTTAATAGACACCCGCGTCCTCAGACTGCTATCTAGGACACTATTTGAAACGTGCACTTATGAGGAAACCCTCTACTTCTGGCATCAGTGGGAAAACAACCAACCTGGGGAGCCAGTGGAGAGGTGAAAGCCAGGTTTAGAGTGTAGTCATTATGATAAACATAGCTGCAGTGAAAGAAGCGGAGGTCAGGCCACTCAGGGATCCTCGTTGAACGAAAATACCAGTCCAGGCCTACCTGGGACAGGTGGGGCGCGTGCGGGGCTTCAGGTAATCACGCCAGCGCAAACTCACTCTTCAAAAAGACAAGTGTGACTCATGGTTGGAATTACTCTGGTTGTTGCGCAATAGCAACGCAGCGCAGGTTCCAACCGGCTACGCGTGCTCTCCAAAACGAAGCACGTTCTTGCAGCTTCACGTTTTTTTGTTTTTTTTGAAAACACCAGGTTCTCAGGTATGTTGTCGGCAGGTGAGCGTCATCAAGCGCACCGTTGGCTCACCTTGCGTTTGTAGAATTCCAATACACGACGTGCCGTTTGGCCACAGCAGCGGAGATGAGGTTAAAGAGGAAAATCGCGGCTTTCCAAACGGGCAGCGCTCCCGGCGTCCCCATCCTGACCGACCGCCGTGGGTGGGGGTCCCCGCGGTGAGCGCTCTGCACGGTGGGGGGGGGGGGAGTGGCGTGACAATCAGGTGGGGCAGGGGTGAAAAAAATAAAAATAAAAACTATATTTACTCATGAACAAACGTCTTAAATGCGCGGCTGTAGGTTCGCATGATGCATTAAAAGGTAAAAGTAGATTTAAAGTCACAAAAAAAAAGAAAAACCGGCCAAATCACAGGCTGCAAAGTGGGAGGTGTGAACTTCTACAGGCAGAAGTTCCACTTGAGAGAGTCTCCAAGTTGGTCCGCATGGTAGCGTTGGACTCTTTCTGAAAAGTAATACAAAAAAATAATCTCCTAAACCTGAGTTTAAAGGTCAGTGTTTCGAGTGCATGAATGAGGATTTCAATCCAAAATGCCAGCTGGTTTGGCAGCAACAGGCTGAGCTGCGTCCAAAGGGCGGATCCGCGTAGCTGAGGGCGGGGCCGGGATAACTTGGGACCAATGGGAGGACAAGGGTGTGGTGATGGGTGACACCGCGCTGATTAAATCCTTGAGAGGTGCGCCGACTGGTGTGGACTTTACGGTCTGTCACTGGAGCCCAATAGTTAAACTTATTAAAACTCACTTCATACAATTTAAAGTCTTTTGCAGGGTGTTTTTCCATCACGGGTGAACTGCGTTTTTCAGAAGCTTTATTACAGGTTTCCACAAGCACACACTCCTCTTTTAAGCCTGAAATCCAGGTGTAAACTTTGGCTACCACGTGTTATCAATAACTTTACACAATGAAATGGTGCATTCAGGGACCCAACACACAAGCGCCATGGAGCAAGATGCACATTTAGGCCCGTTGCACTTGGCTGTGTGTGTGCGTGTGTGTGTGTGTTAAGTATTAATGCACAGGCGCCCCAGGTTAGGTTGTAGTGACAGTAATCACTACGCTTCGATGGTGTGTGTGTGTGTGTCTGCGTGCGAGATTACTATTGTTCCAGCGCCATAACTCAGTGGCAGCTTTGTTACCTGCTGCTGCAACTGGACGTTGGGCTATTTTCCTTCTTGCTTCCTCTGTATTTCATCCTGTGTGGGTCTCGTTGTGTACGTGTGTGTGTGTGTGTGTGTGCCACTAGGACTCCTCATTAGCTCACTTCCTGGAGGTCCTGATCATTAATTTCCCATGATGCCTCAGTGCTCCTGTGTGGCTAATTTGTCCCTAGTGTTAGAGGTCTTTTAGCAATCGTGGTGCAAACCTCAGGAGTACAGGTACACAGGTCTCTCTCTCTCTCCCTCGTCTTTTGATTTATCTACTTGGCCAGACAAAGCCTATAATTTTGCCAGAAGTCAATTGTGCTATGTGGAAATTCATTTAATCCTCCCACTTGTTCACTGAAAATGTTTCTAACTTTCAATTTGGAATTGTCTTTTGAGCATAAGAGTTTAAGTATTCAGTGGCCCTGCAGCTAATTCTTCTGTCTCAGTCTATAAATTGACCAGTTTCCCCCCCTTGACTCAGATTGGATTGGAGAGAAAAGTGGTCTCATTTACCTCATGGGTGCACCAATTGTAATCTGCAGTTTCAATGCACTAAATTAAGAGCCGCGTTGATTGCAAACCTGATGGATTTAGTTGGAACGTGCTAATGGCCGCTTTAACAGAACAAGCAGAAAAATAAACCTTTACTACCTACTTTGCAGCTTTTCTTCATCCTCGCGCCTTCTCTTTCGCTTCCTCCTCTCCTCAATATTTGTTTCAACTCATGCTGGTCTGCTATTCATCACTATCAGCATTCTTTCCTAAATCTTTTTTCTTCAATCTCTATCCGTCATCCTAACCTTGCCTTTCATTGATTGTGTCCTTACTGGTCAAATGGGAGCCACACACACGTGCACACGCATCTCCTGGCACAGTTTCTAAGCAACTATTTTCCTTCCTCATCCTCTTATAACTTGCTCATAAAAGATCCCCAGGAACCTAATAAGAATGTCTTCATTGCATAAGCTCATCAATGATTTAATATGCAACTATTAAAGCATGCGTTCTGAAAGGCTGACAGATGCTTATCAACATAAATAAACAGCCCCACAACTGACTTCACATTTTAGTTTCTCAATTAGTGTTTTGTTGATGGAGAGCACTGAACAGAAGGAGAAAAAAAAGCCTTAGCATATGATTAATATATTTTCCCTTTAAGTAGCTTGAGTGCAATCATGTGCATTGGGTGGCTCACTTAGCAAAGGGTTTGTCACCCTGTGCATAACTGATTCGGCATGATGTAATTGCTTATTGTTCTGTGTCACATGACAAAGGCGTTTTCAGAAATCAAGTGGAATATTCCTTTAAAAAAAAAAAAAAATCCTTTTTCCATCTCCAGCTGTTCCTCCCCTGATGCACTCCTCGCCGTCACCGCCCCTCCTCTCTCTCTCTCTCTCTCTCCCTCTCTCGTACAGTAGTGTCAGTACCCTCTTAATCCTGTTATCTGCACATATACAGGCTGACACCAAGCCACTCGCCGGAGCTGTAATCAACTACCCTACACACACTTACACTTACACACACACACACTTACACACACACATGCGTGCAGGCCGGTACTGGCCCCATTCTCCGTCTCCTCCTGTAATCCTGCTATTTCCGGTCTCCTGCTGTTGTGATCGGCCACATGCACGTCTCCGGCACATCTTGACTGCTGCTCGTCACAAGAGAACTATATGCTTCCCACCAAGATATCACGCCTGCCACTCTTTTCTTTTTTTTTCTTTTTTTTCTTCTGCTCCATGTCCTCTTCTTCTCTTTTTATCCCTACATGTCTGTCTCTGGTCCCTGCAGCATTAACACTCCAGTTAATCAGACAGTTGTTAACTTACTTTATTTGGCTTGATAATCAGGATTATACAATCTTTTGAACTCACTCCCCATACACAATCGCTTACAAAAGAAGTCTTTTCACTACTTTCGCCTTTCCTTTTATCTTCATCATTTTGTGCTTTCTGATGATGTTTTTTTTTTTTTTTTTCCTCCCTGCTTTTCCGCTGTACGCCTACTACACTTATTTGCAACAGTGCCAATTTTATGGGGTCATCACTTTAGCTGTGTGTATTTCTCATTCTCACCTTTTCCTTTTTGTGAAAGTACACTGTGTGCGGTTCTTTTCTTGTGTGCACCTTCGCTCTTTTCCTACCCTTCTCTCGCTGCGTCTCAGTTCCGTAATTACAGCGCCGGACTCAAGCGGTGATGGTAAATGCTTTTCTATTCCCCTCTCTCTATCACTCCCCCTCAATCTCCATCTTTTCCTCTTTCTCACCAAGCAAATTACACGTTGGTTACTATAGAGACGTGTTTATTGAAGGCTTCTCGCCACACTTTCTCACTCCCCCTTAGCCCCCTTCGCCTCTCCTGCGCTCTTCTTTCCGCTCTTGTTTTTCGACGTCCTCTCGTTGCCGTGTATCGATGAGCATCAGCATCTTTTCACTCACATCATCTCCCTCCTTTTTGTTGTCTTGATGAGCCACTTCAGCTTCTTTGGTGACGGTTGCCGTTCGTAAGGAAAAGATGAGGATGTAGTGTGTCGGGGGGGGGGGGTTTCAGTCAAGGCTTTTGTGGTCGGCGTGTGAGCAGAAAAGGAAGGCCGGGTCTCTTCTGCCCAAGTGCTATCCGATGATATTGACTGTGTAAGTGCTCCTCACTGATATACAGCACTCTGAGACGTGAGCGGTCCGATCGAGTCTCGTCTTTCTCCTCCTCATCACGGGCACAATGTCCAATCTGCTTTACTGTCTTTCTCTGTTGGCTTTTCTCTCTTTTTTTTCCTGTTTGTTCACACATCTCCTCCATGTTCCCCCATTATCAAACTTCAACACTCTTTTGTTACCGACTGAGACTAGCACACAAGCGAAGCGGCTTCACACGCCCGCACAGTTTCTTGTTCTTCAGTCAGACGGTTGCGTACTTAATGTGAGACAATTGTGTTTCCATTCAGCTGTCAAAGAAGCGAAGTAACGCCGCTTATGTAATTTCTACTGGAGAGAAAGCCATCGTGGCCAAAAAAGACGAGTACGAGATAATAGTCAATGCTGAAATGTAGTGGAACAGTGAAAGAAAGTTGATGAAGTCGGTGTGTTAATATCAGCCAGCACACGCCAGAGAAAGAGGAAAAACAAGATGGTGTATTGAACTGACGGTGACTTTGGTTTCTTGTCAACTCAACTTTTAATTTGGTTGTTAGAGTACATACTATGCAGATATAATGGCACAATGCAACCAGTCAGATGCATAAAGCTGTAAGCTTGTGTACGTCCAGGCATGCATGTCAAGGAGGACAAATTGTTTAGTATACATTGTATTTATGTGGGGAAAATGCATTGTAACACTGACACATTTTGAAGGTGTACTTTGGAAACAGAAGGCTGTTCTTGTTTTCAAGTATTTCCTGCATCGCTTAGTAGGAAAAGGGCTCAGCCATCATTAATATAATTCATATTTTTTGTTCCTACCGTGCAAAAAAGTGTAAAAAGTAAAAACGATATATAATGCAAAGTGACTTTATGATATTATCATTCACTTGATATGTCTACCGTATCTTTTGTTTAGACCTTTTAACCACTTCAGAATTTGATTAAAAAAATGGAAAACTTTGCAGAAGAACAAATCCGTCCTTCTGCTCCTCTCATTCACCCGTGCAGGACCCTCTGGGGTCTCTCTCTCCTCTCTGTCCACTGCCTCTGCAAGGCAGCCCCCCCCCCCCCCCCGAACACCTCCACAACGGGTCCTCTCCTCTGCCTTTCTGTCCCTTCGCTCCTCCTCTCCATCCCACATGCACACGAGTGAACTCTCTGTAGTAAAATTAACTTTGAGATGAACGAGGCTGCGCACGCAGTTTGGTATCCTGCCAGAAAACCAGTGAAGGTTACGTCCTCATCTATTTACTACCAAGACGCTCCGCTTGCATGTGGCTGCCAACTCCCCAAGTACGCCTCGGTGTCTAAAAATAAGCAATCCTTTTTTGATTTTATTTTTTTGTTTAAGTACAACAAATGGGAGGCAGCAGGGAGGTCAAGTGGTTAAAGTGACCGTCCCGTTAGAACACATGGTCGTTTAAACCCCATCAAAGTGCCTTTGAGGAAGAATCCCTCACCTGAATAAGATAAGAGTACATTCGTATCCATACTTTTCTAGCAGCTGTGACAGGAAAGGCCGACATAAAGGCATTCGATTGTCGTACTGTGTTTGTAAAAATGCCCCTTTTGATGACACCTTTTTCATCATTTTACACATCTACATTTAAGTGCGTCCGGTCTTGTAGCAGCTAGTTGGCAGATAGTGTCGTATAAAGAAAATCCCTTTTATTTATTTTTGTTGACCTCTGTGCGGTATATTCATTCGTTTCTTGCTGTCTCAGTGCTCGCAGCTTTTGTTCATTTAGTGCACACATTCGACTGCTTTCCAGTTTGTGTCTTTGCGTCTGTGATCTCTTGGCTGTCGGTGTGTGTTTTCAGTGGGCAGCGAACTG